CCAAAGAATCATAAAAGTTCTGCAGAAATAAGAGACAGAAATCATAAAAGAAACTATTAGATAAAATAAAAAAATCTGCCCAATACTATACCATAATTTTTAGTAAAGTATAATAATGTGTTTTTCATCTTTCTGAAAAGTGATAAAAAGTATATTCTGGATAACATTTTTTGTTTTATTTATTTATTTTGTGTTTAACAAATGTGTATTCCTTCAAAATTTCTTAGAAAAAATGATAAACAACTATTACAATTTGTCACCAGATTTTGGTCATTTGTACAAAAAAGTAACATCAATTCCATCAAAAACTTTGACACATATGTATGTAAATTCACCATAGGCAGTGACTGCCCAGAGAGGCAGATGAAACCATTAATATAGAAAGAGTGTCACACCTCAGCAGTAAGAAAATTGGTAAGTGTGCTTATCAAAAATATTTTTCCCAAGTACTTTGGGGAAATTAACAATCAAAATTCCTATTAGAGTTGGCAAAACCTAAGACTGAATGAATCATCACATTAGTTTAATAGTTTTATGGCATTGCATGTAAGACTGCTGTGAGATTACTGAGTGAATCATTTTATATATCTGCCACATGTAAATTGTTATATAAGAAATTATGTAAGTGTCATTAAGCCGACACATGTATGGAGGGTGTTTATAGGAAAAGTATCGTGCCCGGCAGTGGTTAGAACCGAGCCTGGAAAGATGGACAAAGCAGAGCAGATGATAAGATATCAAAGACTCCTCCTTTTAAGACACTGAGATCTTTTCTACGTAGGTGCTGAGAGAAAGAAGAGGGAGACTTGGTGGGCAAGTGTGTGTCCATGTGTGAAAGGTGAAACAACTTAAATAGGGTCTGCAGTTCAAAAAGGTTGTAAGAGCATTTGTCAAAAGAGACGTGGGAACAAACAGCATGAAAATAAAACAAATAGAATTAAGTAGATATATAAGTTAATAATTTTTTTCTGTTTTTTCTTTTCTATTGTTAAGAGCCTTTAGAAAGAAAGACATTATTACAGTTTCAGCTTCCTCCCGGCTTTAGAATTAGAGTGTCATACTGGGACATTGTTTTTGTGTTGTCGTTGTGTTTTTCTATCCATACATCTGTAACCAGTTAGGTAATTGTAACAAGTTAATTTAAGGGATCAAGTAAAGAGGATGAAGTGACTTCACTGAAATAGCCAAAAATCATAGTTGTTTATTTCAATAGCTCAGCTCGTTATAGTTCAGAAATACCTTACTTCTTTTTCTCCTGGCAGACTAAATACACAAAATATGAAGTTGCTTACATTTTTCATACTACATATAAAGAACTAAAACTTGCCAGTATTTAACTGACAAAATTCATAATAATGCACTGAGGTGAAGAGTAGCCATAGCATAAGAAAATAGGAGATATTTTATACACAGAGCTAATTATTTTAATTATTCAATTCTTAAAATATCCATTAGTCTTCTCTAATTAGAATTGAATGACTCGGCTGGGGATTTAGCTCGGCAGCACACCGCCTGCCTGGCAAATGCGAGGTCATGAGTTCAATTCCCGGTACCTGAAAAAAAAAAAGAATTGGATGATTAAAATTATCCCCTTTAAGTACCGTATAAAATATTGAATAACTTATTTTTTAATTATCTAAAAAGTCACTGGCTATGTATAATTGTTATGGATAAATTTGACTACACATCTCCAAGGTACTTTATCATAGCAATATGTGAAATTCATCATCTCCAACATTCCTAGCAAAATATTAGTTAATTATGTAAAAATTCATCAGTAGTGATCACTCTTGTTGTCCTTAGAGTCACTCACTACCTGTACTGAATTTCACAGAGATTAGCTGAGACCTGGGGTATAAATTCTATTTGAATAACTTGAGAGAGAGAGAGAGACAGAGACAGAGAGATAGAGAGAGACAGAGAGAGACAAAGAAAGACAGAGAGAGAAAAGAAGAGGAAGGAGGAGGAGGAGGAAGAGGAGGAAGAAGAGTAGAAGCACACAGGGAGAGAGGGGAGCAGGCTGCCAGTGACAGCCACTTTTCTGGACGAGCTGAACCTGGGGGGTCAAGTGGTGCACCACTGACGCCTAGCTACTGACCGTTTATCTGCACATCATGGCACTCCTCCCTCCACTGGAAGCGTTTCCACCTGTGATACTACTCAGAGTCCTTCTCTGCTCCCTCGCTTTAGCTCAGCTGCAGCTCAAGGTGAATTCCTATTCTTGCACTGTCCAATTCTAGCTTGACTAGTTTGGCTCCTGGCAGTGCCTGAGCCTTAATGCCTGCATCCTTTAATCTCTCGAGGTGTGACATCCCTTTTATTGCTTTCCTGAGTAGTTGCTGAAGGTATGGGATGCTGTGTAACCTCCTCTGTGCCTTGTCTCCCACTCAGGCCGGCGGCTCTCAGTGTGTCAGCCTTTGGAGGACATTTGCGAAGCATCACGGGGATTAAACGTTTGACTCATACTTGGAGGATGGAGGAGGACAATGTTCTTGACAATGGAAATTAGTCTGACCTCTTGGGCGACTGGCAGCCCTGCCATCCACCATGAAGGTTAAACCATCTATTTATAATTAGCTAAATGTGGAACTTCTGTTGCTGTTACGGCTTGTATCTAGATGTCCCCCAAAGCCTCATGCAAGCCAGGCATGGCGACACATGCCTATAATCCCAGCACTCGGGAGGCTGAGGCGGGAGGATTGCCATGAGTTCAAGGCCAGCCTTGGCTACATGGTGAGTTAGAGGTCAGCCTAAACTGCATAGCAAGACCCTGTCTCTCAAAAAACAAACAGAAAAAAAAGCCTCATGCGGTCACAGGTGGGGCTTTTCAAAGATGGCTGGACCTAGGGTGTGTGCTGCTGGGATCTAGGATGTGATGCTAGGACCGATTCATGGTGGGGTGCTAGGATTAGGGCTGCCTCACCACTGTGGGTGAGTGCCTCTCCAAGGGGTTAATAGTCTGGATAACATACAGGGGACAGAAAGAGGGCTACTGCTTCTTGCTTGCTGATCGCTGCCTGCCCTGCCCTGCCCTGCCCTGCCATGCACTGTTTCCCCTCTGCGTTGCCACCCTGCCTTGGAGCCAGCCGACTATGGACTGAAACCTCTATAAACCGTGAGCTGGAATAAACCTTTCCTCCTTCAACTTTTGGTGTCAGGTATTTTGTCTCAGCAATGAGAAAAGTAGCTAAGATATGTTGCATAGAAATATAAGAGAATTTTAGCCAAATTTTACATACGATAAATTACAGGAAACCATTTACAATATATTTCCCTTATTTCAGGTATTTTCAAAGGATTTCTCACATTTTGTAGAGCGTAGCATTAACAGAATGGCTTCAGAGTTACCAGTAAATCTCGTTAGTGTTGTCCTGTACCAGTAGGCCAAGGATGTGACAATTTCTTCATGTCTTCTGATATAATGTGCATGTGTATATGCTCTGAAAAGTGGCATTTTTAATAAATAGGTTTCATTTCAATTATACTTATAATGTTTCTTTTTAAATTGTATGTGTAAGTTTTATTGTTATCAATAAATTCCATTATATTTCTTTATAATAGGAGGATATTAGAAAAACCTTATCTAAACCCCAGAGGGGTATTAAGTCTGAGAAGTGAGAACCAAAGAACAAGATGATTTATATGTACATATAAGGAGAGCAGGGATAGGTGTGTTACTAATGTCTGTGGTTTACTGAGAGGAACAGTCAATGCTTAAAATTTTCTTTTTTCTTTACCAGTTTTGCAAGGTTGAATTTGGTAATCAGAATGACTGATCTGAAAACAGTATGCAGTATAAGAACCATTGTTGAATTCCTACCATCTTGTATGGTGAAGCTCTGCATCATTTCCAGGGTTTTATTTTTTAAAATTTTTATTTATTATTTTGCTCTTATTACTGTCTTTGTTTTTTTTTTTTTTTTTGGTTTTTCTCCGGTACCGGGAACCCAACTCACGACCTTGCGCTTGCCAGGCAGGCGCTTTTGCCGCTGAGCTAAATCCCCAAACCCTTGTTACTGTCTTTGATTGATTGTTTGATGAGTCTTACATTCTTGTGTCTGGTGGACTGAGCAACTTTGTTGATAACAGTATGTAATGTAGCAACCATTGTAAATTCCTATCATTTTGTTTTGAGGTCATGTATCATTTTTGCTGTTTTGTGTTTTGATTTTGTCTTCATTGTTGTTTTGTCAGTTTTTTTAACTTTTAGAATAAAAAATCTAAAAAAAATTACAACAACCATTGTTAATTCCCTATCACTTTGTTTGTAACTCTGTATTGTCTGTACTGTGCTTGTGATATGTTGTAAAATGTTGTATGTCTGTTAATGTTTCTCCCCTTTATCTTTAAAATAAAAAAAAATAAATAAAGATTACAAGCATGTTTAGGAAGGAAAAGAAATGTGAAAATCTAGGATCTACTGAGTATTTCCTGGTCCTGACGCACATCACACACTTCACAGGCCAGGACTGCTGACGACATGCAATCATTAAGTGATGAAAGAGAAAGTAGTTCAGAAGCGTGAAACGCAGCTGAAGCCCCACTGCAGCTTCCGCTTGTGTGCGCTGTCGGTGTCAGCCCTGACCTCTTCTCTCGCCTCTCCTCCCTCCTTTGCTGAGCTCCAGCCCCATCAGCTTCCTCTCAGGCCTCTCTGTCTGCACTCTCACCAGCCCCATCTCCTCAGGGCAACTGTACATGCAGGTCCTTCGCTACATGCGTGTTCCTTCTTCTCACTCAACGGTGCTTCATGGAGCCCTCCCTGCCAGACAGAACTCTAAGCGATTCCCCTAAACAGCTGCATTTATCCCTCGC